GCTTGGGCCACCTCCACGGCAGCACCGGACACCCAGTGGGTCTGGCACGTGCCGGGGACGGGGCTGCAGCCGGCTTGGCAAGCATGGCAAGCAATGGGCTGCAGTGAGCAACACGCCACGTGCTACAGCATGCACACGCTATGGAAAGCAACGTGCCATGGTGTGCAGTGGGTCATGGTGTGCTCCAATACAGACAGGGACCCTCGGGGGTCAGGCCACCCAATTCCCCCAGCCCTCAGCAGGGAGGCAGCAACGTGTGCCCCCTCCCGGGTCAAGATTTTAACCTGTTTTCCCAAGAAATGCAGGTGTCAGCACCATGCCACGTGGGTGCCAGCAGTCAGGGCAGGCATCAGGCCCAGGCACACAAAGCTTCAGCATGCGGCAGCGCAAGAGGCAAAGGCCACCAGAGACCCAGCGCCTGGCCACAGGCATCCCTGCGCGTGGGGTTTCTCAATCCTGCCTTGGGACATCCACAGGGCAGAAAGGACCTTCTGGGCTCAGTGTCAGGCTGAGAAGGTCCCCATGTCATCTCCTGGCCTCCGGTCCCTCCAAGTCCCCACAAAGGTCTTCTGCTCACGCAGACCACACTCCCCCGCCCCTAGGACCACTCGTTCCTTCAACGCTTCCTCCCACCGTAGCTCTGCCTGAACACTTCTTGGACTATGGGGCCTTTTGAGTCTTTCCCAGGGACACTAATCTCATCAGGATGAGGATAACTCCATGACAACATGGAGGCCGGGAACATATAAGCCTTCCTATTTGCTTTGCCTCGGTTCACTGCACGAAGGGTACCTCCACTCGCTGCTCAGGGGCCACCTCTGTTTGCCCAGCGCAGCGTCTCGGGAGATGTCCGGGTGCTAAGGCAAAGCAGATTTACCTCTGATACCCCAAATGTGAAATAAAACCAACCCACGGGACATTCCTCTCCCCCTTTGCCACCGAGCTGTGCACACCTCACACCTCCGTAGCTCCCGTGTCGAGCCGAAGGCAACACAGTTGGTGAGAAAGCAACTGAATCAAAGCTGCATTGTGTACGAGGAAAACAAAGGCGCCCTTATTACGGAAATAGGTGGGGATTCTTGGAAGGCTTCCCCCGACTGCAAAGAAACACATTGTAAAACAGATGCACAAAGACAGACTGGAGCAGCCTGGCCCAGGGGAGCTGAACCTCCGGGTGCCCACGGCGAGCTACGGGACACAGAGGAGACGACGATGGGGAGATGAGCCAACGTAGCCAGAGGGACAATCATCAGAATGAAATGTTTAGAGACATTAGGATCTCTAAAGCGAGGAAGGTGGGGAATAACCGATAGAGAGGTGTTAGAAGCAGATTCCGTCTGGTCTGATGGGTCACCGGTGTCCAGCTAAAAGACATTTTGCAGACAAGGAGGATAACCCGTGGCTCATCCCCAACCTACAAATGTGCATTGGTCTAGAGAAAGAGCAGCCCAGGGGAAACCGCACCGGACTCCGCCTGGGGATGCACATGCCCCGTTAGTGGCTCTGCCACCGGCGCCCTGGCCAATGCGGGAATGTCGCTTGGGTGTCTCCTCCATTTGGGCACAACGGACTCAGGTGTCCTTGGAAGCATCAAGGAGCCAACATGCATTGGACATGTTACCTTTCCCAGCTCTCTGCCTCGGCTTCCCCATCTGTAAAATGGCGGTGGCGACAGTGACGTCTTCCATAACCTTCTCAATCTGGGAACAGAAAAGCCACTAGGACACGTGCCATCTACACGTGAGCTCTGCAGAGAGCCAGCAATGCTGGGATGGGTCTGCCCTTGCGTTGGCTGATCCTTTTCTGCAGCAGAGCCCAGTGCTGCAGTTTTAAGGAAGAAAAGGTAAAACCGTGGCATCCTGGTGGAGCTCCACCAAGGACCAGCTCCTCATGGTGAGAGGGAAAGACTCCATGTCCTCCGGGAACGTACCGGGGCTGGACCTCCTACCCCCAGCTTGCCTGCCAACTGCTGTGGCACCACGCTGTGAGACTCCAAGTTCACTTTCAAAAAAAAGTTGGCATCTCTGCATATTTGCAAGGTCAAGGCACAGAAAGCCTTCTATAAGCCTAAACCCTTGTTTTCAAGGGCCTATTCTTTTACAAACTGATTATGAAAGCAGGCTACATATTCTTAACAAGCCCCTTTTCACTACGGCTTTCAATTCCCTCCAGTGTATAATGTGCATGTGTATTCTTGCATGGCAGGCCCTTACATACTGTTTTGATTGTTATCGTCTTGCCATGAAAGGGCCGATTGTTTTGGGTTCCCAAGATTACATCATGGCTCCCACTCAGGCCGCCCGTCGAGGTGTTTGATCAGGGCTCGCAGGTGGGAAGGAGCTCTGCGGCGAGCGCAGGGCCCTGAGCATTTCCCCATACCTGCCCTACCTGTTAAGCCCAGCTGCCGGCACGCTCTGCACCGGCGTTACGGGAGGCTCTACGCGCGAGGGGGAAGGGGGAGGGGGGGAGAGGGGTGGCAGCAGTTCCCCCACACCAGCCCCGACGCCCACCGGACCACGCTCCAGTCCCCAGGAAACAGCCTGACCCATCCGCGAGTGCACAGGGCTCCCACTG